TTTAAGAAAATTATGACCACTAACAGTGTAAGAAATCTTAAAGGCCTATCTAAATTCCTTAACAATGTGTACAATACAATTGGTAAATTGTATTAGTATCCACGTATCCTATTTTTATTAAATTGTACATAATAAAAATTGTAGATAATTGTATGTCATGTTATTCTAAGAATAAATGAGTTTGAGTCCGACACCCGAGAAGAAGCCAGAGATTAGTGCCCCTTTTTGAATAGTTTACAATCATGTGTTTTACCGTTAGCTGTGTTGGCTTAAACGTATTTTTATTTCAAAAGAAATCTGTATCGGTAAAAAAGCAAAACATGCTTATGTAATACCTCTCCAGGTAACAACTTAACAACCGCTGGATATATATAAGAGAGTGATGAACATAAACATACAAAATGCACAAATGAAAGCAAGCAAGTGGTGTCTTTGAAATAAGGTAATGCAGTTTTCCTTTACTACATGCATAAACTTAAGCTACTCAAACCTTTTGCTTTTGACAATGATGTCATGAACTGATTTAAGAAGAGTCATGTTTGTAGAACTGCTTAACTACTGCCATGTAATATAATTTTTAGACCATACCCATGTGTGTAGAAATACACAGTGTTTCTGATATTATCGTATTTTTTAACAGTTATAGAAAAAGTGAATTGCATCTTCAAGGTGATATCCACAAGTGCAGTCTGGTATGTCTGATACATGTCGTCTAAACTTATCAGCGTTTAAGTCACTGCAGCCGAGCCTAAGGCGACAGTGGACAATTTGGCATGATCTATGAAAATATTTGAAGTCAAAATTATTAATAATTGCATCAGAACGATTAATTAAGGATTTGATTTCTTGTAATGAGCGAGCATTAGTTACTTCATCGGATAGAGGGTTCCGCAGGTTGATCATATCCAGAAAAAATGATAATAAGCATAGGACTGTGTTCTACATTTGATTGTTTGTATGTTGAATCTTTTCCTAAGGTTATATTTCCTGTTATCAGAGAATTGAATATACACTTTTCAAATAATTTGGCTAAGCAACTTGTGAGTGCTACAAGTCTATAATTTGAGCATTCATGTTCATCGCTGACACTGACACCGCATCAGCCCGGCAGTGGACTTGACACAATTATTTGCGCACCGATTATATAACTCCTACAGACAGGTGGGGTGGTTGTTCAAAGCGAAACGGACGACCCCGTCTGTTATCTAATAAATGCTGTGCGGCGCCTTTGATCTTGCCTCCAACCATACACCTTATAGTAGTAAACGACGATCAGGATGGCCTGGAAATAAACACAATTCTGTCTGCCCGGTGCATCCACAATTAACTAGAATGCTTCATATCTACAAATATATATAGAAAATAGATTGCACTTCTTTATTTAATCATTACCCTTTTTTACCCTAATAGTACAAGTGCTTCCCCGTGTGCGAGATAGGCTTAAGTCGGAAAGCGCACGTTATATCTCCGAGGTACCTATCTACCAGAACTGTATTTGCTGTTCTGGCCATACATAAATATATGTAAGTTACGTACATGGGGAGGCTAGATTATTTACAGCTTACAGCAATATAGTGCAAATATTATGTTCAATAAAAGAAAACGTTGATAGATCTATAACACACTTTTTGTACTATTAAACCAACTGTGGACTTTTAAGACATTTTCGCTTATTGTAATAACATCTAGCTAACCAATCATGTCTATCTCTGAAATCCACAAGCATAGTTGCTGTCAAACCTAAAAAACATATTCAGGGAGGTCAGTTTTGATTTGCCAAGCACCTTAAGGTGAGTTTATTTTTAAACTGTCAAAAGCGATTGTCCCTTCAATACTAGTATATGTCTGGAAGCTGTCTCTCGGACTGTTATGGGTTATGATGTATTTTATGATATAACTGGGGAATGTTCAAATTAGTTACTGTCGTTTAATCCAACGTTCTAACTGTCAACTGTCTCAACAGGATCATAGGTTTGGTTATATATCTCCTCCCTGTCTCTATGTCTTAAGTTGTTAATCGGTAACTGCGGTCCAAATGTATCAACTTATTCATCTATTGTTGCAAACTTGACTGATTTAAACATATCTTATTGATCATGAACTACTCAGTCAGTCAAGCACCTGTATCAGAAATGTAAAACCAGCCATGTTTCATGTAGTCCCAATATCACTGAAAAATGCCGATGTAACGTGACAAATAAATTTACTCACAGGCAATATATTTTTCGTGAGAGTGAAGCACAATTTTATTAAAGTTTTATTAACAATTTCATAAACTATAATAATATTAATATTAAAATTCATCATCACTTGCCAAGTTTATGAAAATGTCCCCATTTGGGAGATGTCACATATAAACAAGGATTCGAACTAAGTTTGATCGTCTTTGACACTGAGGTTTATCCCCACTTTGCCAGCAAACTGCAGAAGATTAACAGTGAGTGAGTGAGCATCGTTTCTATGTTTATACAAGAAAAGATGTCATGCCAAAAACGCTCACAGTAGTTAGTAAGTAAACTCACGACCTGTCATGACCTGGTTGAGTGACTTCCTCAAATGAACGTGAAAGGATTACCCACAGAGAAAGAAAGGATTAAAGTCACCCATAAATCTTATCCTAACGTAGTACTCCAACTTCTAAATGCCTCTCAAAGAAGGATTAAAATCCTAAAGATATCCTATCTACGTGGTATAGGTACTCACAACCTCTAATAATAAACTGTTACGTTTGGTATCCCCAGCAATACTCACTATGGTAATTGGGCAAATGTAAAAATCACAAACCCTAACGAGATTCTGTCTACATGGTCACACCCGGTGATTGTGAAGATCTCAAATTTTATCAACTGTCAGACAGCATGGCTGTTCATATTCATTTACAACATCCTCTTATAATTAGTATAAAAGTGTCCCACACAAAACCTTCTTTTATTTATTTTTCAAAATACAACACAGAAAGTTGGGTGTGGGGAAATGGGACATATTCCTACGTGAAATAATAAGACATTAGTAGTGGTGACGGCTATGTCATAATTGAACTGTCTAAAGCATAAATTTGGCGAACGAAAAACGTTATATTTGCAATCAAATGGAATGACTCGTGTGGGCAAATGAATATGTTCGCAATCCACAAACAATTATTTTATTAATGGCGAACATTTACCAACCCGCGACAATCGTGTCAACACGGGGGTTTCTTAGCAATAAACTCGCATCTAAATTCACTACTGTTCTACTGTCGGCTAGCCACAATGGCTAGACTGGACCCTAGTGGAATGGTTCATGCCATAAAAGTCTAGCAACCGAACACTAATTAAGATGGGCCGACCTTGTATTTACGGTCTGGTGAACACAGCTCAATGGCCGCTCATTAACTCAAATTTCACATCTCACTGTTTTGTTTTATTTCACTATTCATTTGATAAATTTGTCAACTTCAACTGGAACCCGGTCCCGTGTTACACGCGTGGCACACGCGTGTGCAACGGGTTGCACACGCGATTCACACCCGTTGGACACGGGTGTGCAACGGGTGTGAATCGCGTGTGCAACCCGTTGAGCACCCGTGTCACATGCGTGTTACACGCGTTCTCAACGCGTGTTAGGGGAATGAACTTTTAGGCAGTAGTGTACATCAAACCCTCAAACCCACATCCACCCCTCACACTCAGATCCACCATCACACCCACATCCAACCCTCATATTCATATCAACCCCTCACATCCAAATCCAACCCTCACACCCACATCCAGCCCACGCATCCACATCCAACCCACACATCCACATCCAACCCTCGAACTCCATCCAACCCTGACGACCAGACCCAGCACTCACATCCACACCCAGCACTCACATCCATATCCAACCCTCACACCCACATTTAAACCCTCACACCCACATCCAACCCCCACACCCACATCTAAACCCTCAGACCCACATCCAATTATCCCATCCACAACCAACCCTCACTCCCATATCCAACCCTCACACCCACATCTAAATCCTCACACCCACATCCACCCATCACATCCACAACCAACCCCCACATCCACAACCAACCCTCACACTCACATCTAAATCCTCACACCCACATCCAACCCTCATATCCACATCCAACGCTCACACCCACACCCAGCACTCACATCCACATCCAACCCACACGTCAACTTCCAACCCTCGAACTCCATCCAATTCTCACGACCAGACCCAGCACTCACACCCACACCCAGCACTCACATCCACATCCAACCCTCACACCAACATCTAAACCATCACACCCACATCCACCCATCACATCCACAACCAACCGTCACACCCACATCCAACCCTCACACCCACACCCAGCACTCACATCCACACCCAACCCTTACGCCGACATCCAACCCTGAAATCCACATCCAAACCGCACACCCACATCCCGCACTCAAACCCACATCCAGCACTCATATCCACATCCAACCCTCACACCCACATCCAACCGTCACACCCACATCCAACCCACAGACCCACATCCAACCCTCGAACCCCCATCCACCCCTCACGACCAGCACTCACACCCACACCCAGCACACACATCCACATCCAACCCTCACACCCACATCTAAATCCTCACAACCACATCCAACGCTCACATCCACACCCAGCACTCACATTCACATCCAACCCTCACACCCACATCTAAATTCTCACACCCACATCCAACCCTCACATTACATCCAACCCACACACCAACATCCAGCGCTCACACCCACACCCAGCACTCACACCCACATCCAGCACGCACACCCACCACTCACATTCACATCCAACTTTTACATCAACATGCAACCCTCACATCCACAACCAATTCACAGAACCACATCCAATCCTCACACGCACATCAAAACGTTGTTTCCAGTTTCTTCGAACCAGTGAAGAAATACTAAAAGGACTGATACTTGATTCTTAAGACTCACAATTCACTTTCTTTCAGAAAACACGAACTGTGTTATCATGTGACATTTTAGTGAAGTTGAAGTACAGCATAATCAGACAGGAGTGTCACCAGGACAACACTTTGACATTGATAACCTTACAATAGGCGCACCCCATACAACAAACAATCCTGAAGGTACATATATGCGCAGAGAGCAAAAGAGCAGGACGACACCTAGATTATTATATCCACGTCGAGGCACCATGTCTTTGGGAGCTTTATTTGTATGTCTTTTGCAACCTTGGTCTCTTTCTGGACTTATTATGCCAGGTACAGATACGTCAAGTTTGCTAAATGACGTCTCCTCACTGAAACAGAGTGTGGCAAGTCTTCAATCGACCACCAGGCAGTTGCAGAAAGATCTACAGTCAACTAAAAATGATCTGCACTCGGCTAAAGAACAGGTTTCAAAGTTGTCCAAAAATGTTGGTGAGTTATCGTTTTCACTTGAATCACATAAAAGGAAGCTTAATCATTTAATATTTTAAGACACAAGTGTGGCCAAGTTTCCTTACGAGCACGAGAACATTAACCTATCACCAACAATCGAATAACGACTACTTCTTTTCAAGACTTAACTAAGTAAAGTATTGTGCCGCATATAACATGAAAAGAATATAATCCATAGAGAATATTTTGACATTAGGGCCCTGAAATGCTGAAATGTGTTTCATATATATACTCAGACAATCAACACGTTTCACTTATGGAAATTCGGCATTTCTTGAATCTTATTGTTATCCAGTACATAACATAGCCATCATAATCAATGTTAGCATACCAAAAAAATTGGTAATATAATTTGCATCATAAGTGATGTTGTTATCACAGGATAGAATGCTGGTGGTGGTGGTGGTGGAGGTGGTTTGTGTGGAGGGGGTGTCATGCTATTTACATTAGATTTGATAGTATAGAATTGTTATCAGACTCTTTCATTCACTTAACTTTTAATGCAGCATCCAGAATCAGAGATGTGGCATTCCACGTAAGCAAACCTTCCCCTGACCAAACAACCTACACTCCTCTGACATTCGGCACCATCCTCTACAACTCTGGTTCAGGCTATAGCTCCAAATCAGGAGTGTTCACAGTACCAGTGTCAGGGACCTACATGTTCTGGACTCAGATAGAAATCAATGAGTCAGACGCTTACATGAATGTTTGGATCAAGAAGGAAGGAAAAGGAAAGATTCTGGCCTCCGGTTGGGTGTCAACAGACTCGACTATCGATGACGCTGCTGCTTCTGCTAAGGCTGTCGTACGCCTGAAAAGGGGCGAGAAGGTGTGGGTGGAGATAACGGTGAAACACAGACTAGTTGAAAATGCCGCATCATACTTTGGTGGCGTCCTGCTGTCAGTTCACTAAGCACAAGTCTACATTAAAGCATTATGACTGCAAAGGTGTGTGTGATTACCTGTTCCAAAGTCATTCAGACCTGAATAGGTCCTCAGCAAATTGTATTGAACCTAAGAGGCAACCCAATGGATTGGCTGGTCAGACTCAGGGCTTTAGTTGATTGTGTGTCAACCCGACGGTGTTGATTAATGTTCACAATATCAATTACTGTGTTATCTAGCAATTGTAAACCATTTGTATTGTAATTTTCAGTATCATAACTTATAATATTATATTCATGGAATAGGAAATGAAATTAGGATGCAGGAGAATATTCTACATCAGGGTCGGGCTAGGGTGCTGGTGGTGGTGACGATGTGTGTGGACGGAGTGTCATGAAAACAGTTTTTGTGACACTCTTGTTAGGCTATTTCTTCATATTTCACAGTCTTTATCATTCACTTAATTTTAAATGCAGAATCCAAAACCAGAGATGTGGCATTCCACGTAAGCAAGCCTGTCCCTGATCAAACAACCTACACTCCTCTGACATTCGGCACCATCCTCTACAACTCTGGTTCAGGCTATAGCTCCAAATCAGGGAAGTTCACAGTACCAGAGTCAGGGACCTACTTGTTCTGGACTCAGATAGAAATGTATGATTCAAACTCTCAAATGAAGGTTTGGATCATGTCGAAGGGGCTTATCCTGGCCGCTGGATTGGTGTCAACAGACTCAAATATTGACGACGCCACTGCCGATGCTCAGGTTGTCAAACATTTGACGACTGGCGACGAGGTGTGGGTAGAGATAACGGATAAACACAAACTAACTGAAAATGACGGATCATACTTTGGTGGCGTCCTGCTGTAAATTGACTGACCCAAAGTCTACAATAAAACGTTATGACTGCAAAGGTTATATGTGTGATGATTACCTGTCCCTGATCCTGTCACTGCCGGTTGGGATTCAGAGATAGTATAGGTATAGACTGAGAAAAGTTCGGGGACTCGGACTGAGTGTGACGTTAAAAAAACAATCCTCAAAACAGAGAGTGAGTCGGTGTTAAACTGACAAAGCAAGCTGAAAGATTAATACCTTGCTACATAGAAAGGATATCGGGTTGGTTGAATCTGGGGCTCGAACCCACAATATTCAAATCAAGGCAGGGAACGAAATTTAAAAGCTTAGGTTACTATTGCCAAATGGATTCGTCATCATCTTCTGGATTACATTCCTCGGTAACCTTATTATACTTTGTTTGTTGTTTTTAATCGAACATGGACTAGACAATCATGTGAGTGATATTATGAGCAACTATCCACGCCAACAGGGCACATTGACACGCATTCAACCAAGTCAATGAGCCCAACCTTTCGATTCAGTTGGTCGCCTCTTACGAAAAGCATATGTTGCTTTGGACAAAATTTAACACAGAATCCCCGCCGTGTCTTGTCACAATGAATATGTCTGTTTGAAATATTTACTCATAATAAATAAGCCACGTGAAGATCCGGGGTAGAATAGGTCTTCAGCAACCCATGCTTGCCTTAAAATTGGACTATGGTTGTCGTAAGAGGCGACAATGCTTGTCGTAAGAGGCGACCTACGGGATCGGGTGGTCATGCACGTTGACTTGGTTGATGCATGTCATCGTATCCCAATTGCGTGGACCGATGCCCATGTATAAATCACTGGATTGTCTGGTCCAGACTCGATTATTTACAGACCGCCGTCACATAGCTGGAATATTGCTGAGTGTGGCGTTAAACAACAAACAAACAAACATAATAAATATGAATAATTCTGAGAAACAAATGGTAAAGTGATCATTTTTTGATTACATGTGTGAGTTTGGTTTTATGCCGCTTTTAACAGAATTCCAGTTATATCGCGGCGTGTCAGCTTAATGTGGGAGGAAAGCCCGAAGTGATGCAGGTCTCAGACGTTTACCACTTCGGTGAAATGGTTTTCATTCTTTCAGGACGATTGATGTACTGATATAAACTACCGGGCAAAAGATAGTATACACCCATGAATGATTGACGCGAAAATGAAACATACAAGTAATGGTTATTCGATGCTGATGTATTTGATACAGTAATCATTGTTGTTTTGGACCTTACGTTCGCAGTGTTTCGTCGACTGTTTCATCCTGGTTGGTTGGTTGGTTTGTTGTCTAACGCCGCACTCAGCAATATTCCAGCTATATGACGGCGGTCTGTAAATAATCGAGTCTGGACCAGACAGTCCAGTGATTTATATCATGAGCATCGATCCACGCAATTGGAATCGATGACATGTATCAACCACGTCAGCGAGCGTTTCATCCTGGTAATGTTTTGATAACGTTTGTAATTATTTTGCTGAAATCAAATTACAAGTGTATACCCTGCAGTATATAACTGGCGTCAATTCCTTTTGACAAGCGCAGAAATCCATCGACCTACTCTACGCTGTGAAACTTCATTTGAGTTGATACCCTACTGACATAAGCGGCACAACGCCGAAACTGCTGGATAAGACGTTTCAGTCAATATGTTACGTTTCAGTCAATATGTGAAGTTATTCATTTGCATGTCATGAAACACGTCAACACATAATTATATAGTATTACTGTGACAATTAAACACACATTTTCTCTACAATGAACAGATCATACACAATGAAGAAATGAATATTATCGATTTCATCGAAGAAAATATATTATCCACAAATATTTTTGAAAATACTATGCTCCATATTATTGGGGGAAAAAAGAAATTGTCTGCCAGAAAAATTACATTGTTGAAATGTTTCTTTTAATAAAAAAAATCGTTTGGCTCTAAGTTTAATTTAAAGTGAGTGACTATGGTTTTTGCTGCTTTTAGCAATATTCCAGCAATATCACGGCGGGGGTCACCAGTAATGGGCTTCACCCATTGTGCCCATGTCGGGAATCGAACCCAGGTCTTCGGCGTGACGAGCGAACGCTTTAACCACTAGGCTACCCGACCGCCCCAGTCTAATTTAAAAATATATATGGCAAAAGCTGTAGCTGACAAAACACTCTCCACAAGACTATATGGCAAGACGGATGACTTCAACTTTCCAATAGTCCTTTCCTTTCATGTCCAGCAATATTCCAGCAGCTCCAGCCTTTGGTGTTTACATTTCACAGCTTTTACGATACAATCAAGCATGTTCTTTCTGACAAGATTTCAGAGAGTCGCGCGATTCTTGCTCAGAAGTTTCTTGATCAAGGTTACAACATTCAAGGTCTCAGTAAAGCTTTCAAAAGGTTGTGTGGAAGACATGTGGAAGATATTTCCAAATTTGAAGCATCACTGACAATGATGTCCAATGCAATTCCCTATTTTGACTTGTACCATGTGTTCCGGAGTTTTTTAGGTGAACAATTGTCTTGCCCTTGGATGTGTTTGTGACGGGTGCCACAAGTGGGGCAGGATACACTCATCTTTTTCACCTGGTATCATCACTGTTTGATAGTGATTCATAAACACATACTCATGATATAGTCGGAATCGTTCAGTCGACTCTGCTTTTGACATCTGAGTCCTGTATAACTTCGGGGGTTCTTCCCACATTAAGCTGACACCCGTGATATAACTGGAATAATGTTAAAAGCGGCGTTAAACCCAACTCTCTCTCTCTCTCTCTCTCTCTCTCACACACACACACACACACACACACACACACACACAAATGTAGAACATCGTTACTTAACGTTATTATCAGTACTTTCCAAAAAGTATCATTTTAAATTTTGTTGTTATTTAACAAGGAAATGTGTATTTTATTATTATAAATATAAACTGACGTCCAAAAGAAACTTTACCAGAGTTTGAAATCACTCTTGCTCAAAAACAACAAAACATACATGCATGAAGTAAAGTGTATTGAGAAGATCAATATATCAACATAACCAACACTGAAAATGACAATCATACCGCGACCGAGAATGACATCAGAGCCCCCCCAAAGTATGGTGTGGTACAAAACTCGAGCTTTCAGAATCATGGACAATAGGCAGAGTACATAAACAATCGCTCACGTTCAATAACAAGTCATTAGTAGCGTGTGTGACCACCAAATGCCTCAATACACGCAAAAACTCTTCGACGCACAGAAAAAGTCAGTCGTCTTCGATTTGACGTCATTCTTCTTTGAGGGCCAAGATCAGTTCTTGCCGGTTGTCTGGAGAGTGTGGTCGTTGTCGAACACGACGATCCATCAAGTCCCAGAGGTGTTCTATGGGGGACATGTCGGGTGAGCGTGCAGGCCACGGCAGGATGTTGACGTTGTTGGCTGCGAGGAAGACAATTCTGGCTGTATGGGCTCTAGCGTTGTCATGCTGATAAATGACACCACGTGGCTGCTGCTGGAGAAATGGTAGGACAACTGGACGAAGAATGTCATCCATGTAACGCTGAGCTGTCAAGCTTCCGTCAACGATGACCAGCGGTGTCCTCTCCTGCCCACAGATCCCTCCCCACACCATGACACTCCCTCCACCATATGGTACGACCTCCTGAACGCAACACGCCGCCTTTAGTTCACCTCTTCGGCGGTAAACACGTTGTCTTCCCTCAGCCATAAATATACAGAATCGACTTTCGTCAGTGAAGACAACCCTCTGCCAGTCACGTCGTTGCCAACGTCGTACAGTCCGGGCCAATCTCAATCGCAGACGACGATGTTGCGCTGTCAATAGCTGTCCTCTGTATGGTCTAAAAGCCCTGATTCCATGAGCCCTGAGTCTCCTGGCCACTGTCTGTCGACTGTCAGGAAGCGATTTCGGTCTGCCTGTTCTTGGCCTGTCAGCGGTCCGCCCTGTCTGTCTGTAACGTTGCATTAAGTTAGTAACGGCAACACGGGAGCAACCGAAGGTTCGTCGTGCAATATGTGCGTGAGTGGCTCCCATCTGTACCATACCCGAGGCTAGTTCACGTTGTTCGACTGTGATTCGTGGCATTTCTTTTGAGTTTTTTTTATCACTGTGGATGTCTGACTTTCCGTTGCAATCGTTTTATACCCTCACCCGCACGTGCATTTGCAGTTGAGTGAGTGAGTGAGTGATGGAAAAGTCACCATGAGCAGGAGGATAATTTGGGGTGGGAAAACAAAGCACTTTCGTGACTCTCTTTGGACGTTTGGGTGACACAATAATTTCGTGAGATTTTAAGATTAACAGCAGTTCGAGTTCACACAGAGCACGCACTCACCAATTGCTTATATGCCAGACCAAAAATGTTTTCAATGTGTGAACTGTGTTTGTGTGTTTGTTTGTTGTTTAACGCCGCACTCAGCAATATTCCAGCTATGTGACAACGGTCTGTAAATAATCGACTCTGGACCAGACAGTCTAGTGATTGGCATCATGAGCACCGATCCACGTAATTGGAATACAATGATATGCATCAACCAATATAGCGAGCCTGAGCACCCGATCCCGTTAGTCGCCTCTTACGATAAGCATAGTCGCCTTTTACGACATGTGTTGCTGAAGCCTGTGAGTGCTTATATATGTGTGTGTGTGTGTGTGTGTGTGTGTGTGTGTGTGTGTGTGTGTGTGTGTGTGTGTGTGTGTGTGTGTGTGTGTGTGTTTGTTTATGTTTCTGTGTGTGTGTGTGTGTGTGTCTGTGTGTGCGTGCGTGCGTGCGTGTGAGAGCGTGTGTGTGTGTGTCTGATGGGGCGCGCCAGGCTAAGCACTCTTCCACCTGTATAGCGTCTGTACACATATATTCGAGCTGTCGTTTATCTTTATCTCTCTAGCATGTCCTATATCCAAGCGGTGATATTTAGTCTTTTGCTTCACAAGTCTTTTATGTTGATGAATCATGTCACTCTGTCGCTGAGATATTGGTGATACTGAAATGATAGTGCTAAATGAATCTGATCACTGATACAGATCCT